AGAGAGAGAGAGAGAGAGAGAGAGAGAGAGAGAGAGAGAGAGAGAGAGAGATCAAAAACGTTCTGAACAACTGGATAGCACCAAAACCATGTTAAAAAACATTGTGTGAGGAATGCAATATATAGATATTGGCCTCACTTGCTTACAGAGATTAGAAGGGGGCTCTCGTGGCCTGTGGAGGTTAAGGTGTTCGCCTCTCATTCAATAGGTCCAGGGTTCGAATCAGGGTAGCTTCCGAAAATTTCTTCTCTAACAATATTCTCCTTTCACATCTTTCCTGCTCTTTAACAATGTTCCGTTGTCTGCTTTCGTCTCCACTTTCGTCTCCACTTTCGTCTCCACTTTCTCCCCCACCACTTCAATTCCTTAGCGCCCCCCTCGGGCACATGACTCTTTCTACAGTCTTTCTACTGCTTCTCCTTTGCTCCTTCTTACTGCTGTCTTTCAGCCACACCCCTGATCTTATGGTAGGTAAGATCTACACCTAGCCTTCTAGAACAATGTTGAAAAATCTCGGAGGTCCCGTGTGTAATTTCCGCACGTTAAAGATCCCTTGGTGGTCCAAATTCGATAAGAGTAGGCTTCGGCCGCTACCCCAGCAAAATTCAAAATTTTCTACCTACTGAAAATGTTTGGTGTGTCCCGAGCGCTCAAGTGACGTTATGCAGTTGAGAGCGCCGTAAAACACTTACGAAAAAATAGAAATCAAAGTAGAACTAAAAGAAGTGTTGTTTAAAAGAAGAAAGCAAGCGTAACAGCGCCCATGACATCATCTGCTGTGAGTATTTCACGTTGATAGCAGAAAAAAATCCTCTCTGAAAGGAGCGAGTCATTTTGGGGTATACAGTTTCTGTTGTAGCAAATAAAACACCAATATAAACGGAATGCTTTTATTGTTCCTTTTGTAAAGAAGGTGCAACTTTGTAGAGATAAAAGAGGGTGTTTAAAAAGAGGACCAAAATAACAGCAATTACACAGTCCTCTTTGCACCAATAAGACCAAACATTGAACAGATGAAATTGAACTATGAGGAGGTGAAATTGTGAATATGAAGAAACATCGTTATACTAGACCGAGAAATAATATCAATTTTTTAAATTTCATTCAAAACTGAGGAACACCCCAAAATTTACACCTTCAAAACCACCATAATGTAAAATTGTGCATTTGTAGAACACATTTATGGGTAACTGACATTGTCGAAATAACTCAGGGGAAGGGGTGGCCTCACTGCCAGGCCTGAGCATTAAGTTATGGAGCAGGTTTAAGACTAAAAGCACATGCCCGAGTTTCATCAATATTAGACGTAACAAGTCATTGAAGATTACTTTCTGTGTCAAGTAAGAGGTTCTATCACGTCTTTGTCTCCTCTCAACCTCAACACTATCGACCTCTCAATGTAAGCGACAGTGAGGTGATCTCGCCGAAACATTAATTTTTGTGCCCCCCCCCCCCTTTTTTTTCAATCTCACAATCTTTTTCCTAATTAATATTGAAACGGAGGGATAAGGGAAGATATAAGGGTATACAGAGGTCCGGGGAATGGGAAAAGAGAGGCATGGGGATGAAGATGGAAAGGTGATGGGCAGGTCGGATGGTTGGGAGGGGGGTGGATTGAATGAGGATGGGAGCTGGGTAGTGGTATGGGGGAGGGAGTTGGATGAGCGGGGTGGAGGGGGGTTGGAGCAGGGGGAGTATATATCATCTCCCCCCCCCACCCCCTCTCAGCCCTTCCACAGACGGAAAAGGACAACAAGCCACACAGAATCCTCCTGTGTTTGTACGACTGTTAATAAAATATGTAACACAAGAATTCGCATCTACTTTTACTAGAACCAGAGAGCCCGAGACAGTATCAGGTTGAGCAGTGAGAGGATAAATTTATATTATGTCAAAGCGTTGACAGTTTCTATTCAGACAAGCTTGAAAGAGAACTGGACATTTTGAATAATTGCATGCTTCTGGGTCAGTTCTCTGGTCTTTCTATCCAACATTGATTTTAAACTGTTCGGTTCTTTGTAAGTTTTTTTTTTTCAATTTACTCTGTCAAAAAAAAAAAGTGAACGCGGCCGAGGAAATCATTGCGATTTGAATGGATCACCTTTCTTTCAATGAACACTCTTCATGTTGATTTTTTAAGAGAAATTTTAATACAGTTTTACTCAGTTTTTGGTTTTATTAAAATTTAACTTGATTTTTATAAAACGCATTCTTTGAATTCCTTTATATTGACATATTTGACGCCTCCCGAAGTTGAATCTCATTCCTTCCTAGTTTTGTTGAAATTGGTGAAAAGATAACTGCGTTATCACCGTTTACACAGGTCCTCTTTTTTTATACACGCGGTATTGCTGTTCTGTCAAAATATTACCTTTCAGTGAGCATTCTCAGAGGCAGAAGAAACACTCATAACTATAGCATGAACAAAACACACTAAACTTAACCAGGGTTTGACATATGTAAATGAAATTCTTATCCGTCCAATTTTTACAGTTACGAGGCTGCCAATAGGATCGACGACGAACATTTTGCATTTCTTTTGCCTTTGAGTATATATAAATATTACTATGTTTACACGTAGAACACATGGGTTCAATTCCTATGTAGGGAGAGTTTTTATCGAGTATCTGCGTACGGGACATTGTATTCTTTTCAGTCTGGAGTGGTCCTGACATGCCATGTTGAAGCAGCCCGCCTCTTTAGTAATCCTAAATGTACCAACAGTGGCATAAGACACTTGCAATACCATGTTCATTTCTACTTCTTGATTGTTTTGTCTTTTTGTGTTTCTTATTGCCCCCCCCTCCCCCCCAAGAAAAAAACAAAACAAAAACAAACTCACAAACACACAAAACAAACAAAGTACACATAAAAACCAAACGTTCAAACAAAACAACTCAAACCAATAGTCTTGTCTATACATTAACACAAAAACAGTTCCATGCAAAAGAGGACTGTACGAAAAAGGGGTCTTTGGCCTATTATTGATTTTCCTATCTTTGTGAAAGTAATGGGGTACTGAAAGTTCACTTCAGCTCTCCTTTGAAAAAAAATTCCCTGAAGAGAACAGAAAGTTCACTCATTTCCGCCCTTGGTTATAAAACAGTTTTTCTCTAAAGATAGAAAGAATCCCTGTGTTCTTTCCATGGATTAACGAAGAACAAAAATGAACAAACTGTCGGTTGAGACGTTGTATCACCCTTGGAAGGGGGTTGAGGTTAGTGCAGGGGGGAGGGTGGAAGAGAGAAGGGGGAAGGAAAAGAAGAGAGTTTGTTTCTTTGTTGGTATCGACGCCGAAAAAACCCCGCGAAAAAGAAAAGTAGCAGTTTTGCACTAAAGAACAAATCGAGTTTATTTTGATAGCTTTTGAAACCTGATTGTGACAACCAGACAACTGAAACTTGTTAACGGAGGTCTTCTCACTTCATAGAAGTTTCACTTCTACGTTACGGTGTTAGTCATTCCTCTGTGACTTGAGAGAAAGAGCGAGAGAGAGAGAGAGAGATAGGAGAGAGAGAGAAAGAGAGAGAGAGAGAGAGAGAGAGAGAGAGAGAGAGAGAGAGAGAGAT